GCCCGTGGGGCTCCACACCACTCTGGAGGACACATGCTTTAATTCTCAGGTGGAAACAGCACCACGGGGACGGACTCTCCCCTCAGCACTTGACACTCATAAGCGTTAAGTCAAGTTCAGAAGGCTGTGCCCCCCAAGAAGACACCGGACTAAAGAACCCGAGGAGAACTAAGGGGACTTCTCTTTTCCTCTCCATGACACAAGCCCAGAAACGTTTCAATCGGGGCAGCAAGAGTGGTGCAAATTTAAAAACAAGGCATTGGTGGATTCGGACTGGAGAACAAGGGCGGCTCCGGTCACCTGTGCTCTGACCCCTGTTGGGTCAATGAATAAAAGACTTTGGGGACTGGACCGCCATTCTGAGATGCCCTGCGCTGCGTGTAAAAAAATAAGGTGAAATAAAAGGTAAGCAGCTTATTTGTACTTCTTGGGTGAAGAGGAGACAAAGCCCTCTTCCAGCAGACAAACATGTCTAGCGGGTGATCAAATTCAACCCAGACCTGAGAACAGCAAAATGGATTCTGGTCTCGCGGACCCAGCTGCTCCTGCAGGACTCCTGGCTCTAGGCGACGACCGACACCATGGTCAGCGGCCACGGAAAGCGCAGGGAGGCCCGGGCACTGGGAAGTCTGCATGCTAAAGAGGAATGAGGCTCCACAGCTGGGCCACAGGCCGGGGAAGGCAGGCAGGCCCTTTCTCTGCAAGGTGCGGCCCTGTGTACCCCGGGGAGGGGCCGGACGCCTCCCCATCACCCCTCACGCATCAGCCAGGTCACTGTCGCCTTTGTGTTTCCTTCTTTGTTTATGAGCGTTCCGGATCCGAAGTCTCCAGCACAGAGTGCATCGGCCCGGTGCTGTCACCGGCCACGTCAGGCACACTGTTGGCCAGCAAGGATTTAATCAGTAACTGGCCCAGGAGAATGCACCGGGGCAAGCTCCAACCTGACCCCACAGATGGTGACGTTTACAGCCCGGCCGGGGGCAAGGCTCCCGGTCCGCTGAGCACAGCTTCCCAGTGGGGTCCACCTGAGGGGTGGATCCAGCTGGAGCCGCCCACCAGGTGGGACTGGGAGCCCTCGTAGGCTTCCACCCCTGCCCCATGCAGCCGTGGTCCTGGAAGTCTGGTCTTTATCTCTGACAACGATCCAGTTAATTGGATCAGTGTAGACAGACGCCGAAGACCATTTGGGCAAAAGAGTGTATTTGGTTTGTTTATTGGTTTGCATCCAGATCAATCACTCTGAGTCTTGCTCCTGAAGCCCACGCAATTAACCAGATAATTACCAGATGGTTCTCAGTTGGGCTGTGTAGACAGCCTAATATATGGATGATACACTTTCATAGAAGGATATGACCCGAGATGAAACCTACTTGATACATCGGCCGCTCAAGCCTGGGCCAGGGGACCCTGCAAAGCCACAGGGCTGCACAGGGCTTTCTGTTGTAGTGAACTGTACTCAAATTCACCTTTGTTTCATGTGGGCTGCTGTTTCTCAATAGAGTGTTGGGCCGCACTATGAAACGCAGACAGATTACATAACGCCCAGGCCTCAGGGAAACCCCTCAGGGGCCACTTGGCTTCCCAGGGCCCGGCCACCAACCAGGTGTCTTCTGATGGGACAAGGTCCCCGGTGACAGTCCCAACCCCACCTCTGCCCTCCCGGAAGCCACCACCGTGGCCGGGCCTGCCCTCAGCAGCCCCGCTCCCCACTCAACAGGCCCTGACACGGAGAGCCGTGCAACCCACTGCAGCCCACCATGGGGAGAGTTAAGGACACCTCCGGCCTGCCCGCGGGGCCTGATGACGACACACAGAGGAAGGGGGACTATGCCAGCCCATTGGACACTTGCTCGTAGTTCCTCCTTCCACATTTCCCAAGGCCAGAGCAAGGCTCTGCTGAGACACATCCTGTGCCATGAGAGCCCTCAGTCCCCGGACCTGAACAATCTCTGCTCCTCTCCAGAGAGGCCCGAGCTCCGAAGGGGCCACCACCTCAGCTGGTGAAAGTGGTCCTGGGGCCTCTGGCTGCTCAAAACACCCACAAACGGCTTCAGTCTCTCTTCCTTTCCTCTCTCTCTCACATACACCTCTTGAGCAATCAAAGGGAAGTAAGCGGGGGCCTCGAGCCTCAAAGCTGGCTTCCCCTAGACTGCGGCCAGTAGCAGCAGAGCACACACTCCTGGCCTCTCCCAGGGGAGCACAGGAGCTTAGCCTGTCCCTCCCACGGAGGGTCATGGTGCCTCTCAACCATTTTCTCCGCCACCCCCCTCCACACACCTCATTTCAAGGGGTGGCAGGAAAAAAAAAAACTCCTCCTGAGCCAGGGGGAAATTCTGAAGCCAGATTTGGGGGCTCCTGATCCCAGGCAGGGAACTGCTGAGAGCACCAGTTCCTCCTCGAATCTGCAACACTGCACGCTGGCGAATTTTCTGAGGCTCTCCCTCCAGCAAGTGAAAAGCCAAGTGCGAGGCCTGTGGCTCAGGACGGGTTTAAGAACATGCACGAGCCTGAAACTCGGACCGGACGGCTTCACGGCAACCAGCGCACCTCCCTGAGAGGGCAGTCTTTGCAGATACTGCACCAACGTGCCCACAGGAAAGGAGAAAGAGGTGTTCTGAGCACGTCGGACCCAAAATTCAGAATAAAAGGCCTCGCGTGCTTCAATGCGCTCGGGGAGTGGGGGAGCTGTTTCGAGGAGTATGGCTGCTTCTGCTAACTTTTCCCCCCTCCCCATTCCTTGGAGCGTGTGTCACGGCCTGTGACACACTGCCAAGGGAACATGGATGCCGGGGAAACGTCTACACATGCTACACGTTTGTGACATGCCATGAAAGCGACACCCTGTTTCCTGGCTGGGTTTTCTTGGCACAGGTGTGGGCAGGCAGTGGATTCTGCCCCCGCCCCCCACGGTGCTTAGTAAACAGGATCACGGTGGCCCCAGGGGGGCTGTGCATTCTGGGGAAGACCTGCCACCTCTCCAGAGAGGACGGGACCCTCTGAGCAAAGGCTCAGGGCCAAGCAGAACTGGGGCTTTAAACTGTCCTTGTTCCAAAACGCAAAGCATCCTGTTCAGCCTCCTGCCGGCCACCCAACCCCCTCCACCCGACGCCGCGACCCCCCACAGCTGTCTTTCTCCACCTTGCAGATTTGATTTCAGAAACAGATCAATGACTTCCCTGCCTCTCATCCAGCTGACCCAGTCCCAGCCATGTATTTAAAAACAATAACAACAAAATAAAACCTCCAGCAGCAAAACACACGTACACACACACTCCACAGATAATGCAAAACCAGAGCCCCACAGGCCAGCTTCCACGCGAGAACTTGACCGCCGCTCGGTGGGGAGGGGACACTCCAGGACCCCTGTCCCCTCCCCCTCCCCTTCCAACCTCCCAGTGTACGAAGGAGATTTTTCAGAAAGGGAAGCACCCAGCCTTGCCTGCCAGCCCGGGCAGGAAAAAGACGTGTAGAGCAAAGAAAGAAATGGGCTTCTGGAAATTCTTTGGGTTTCGGGGTTTTGAGGTTGTCGGTTTTTTTCTTTCTTTCTTTCTTTCTATTTTTTTTTTTTTTTTGGTTGTTTTGTTTTCCCCTCCAACGCAGATCCAGATGGGCCGCGGGGTTTTCAGAAAGGGAACCCCCACCACCATCAGGGCCCAGCTCCGCGTCTATCCCACGGTCCCATCCGTAAGAAACCCTAGCGCTGGGCCCGGGAGGTTCCCCCAATGCTCTGCCTGGGGTGGGCCGGAGCCTCCCCAGAATTCGGAGGGTCTCTCCGAACCCGTCGGCTGGGCAGAGCTCCGGATGCCACCACCCGGCCCGGAGCGCAGGCCGGGAGGGGGGCGCCCCCGGCCCCCCGCGAGCCCGGGCTCCAGGTGCGGCGCAGGCAGGGGGCGGCCGGCGGGAGGGGCGCCTCGGGCCCGAGGGCAGGCGCGGGGGTGCAGCGCCGCCGCCGCGCAGAGCGACTCACCGTGGCGGACGCCAGGCTGTTGTCGGCCAGCGTTAGGTGGTGCGGCTCCCAGCGCCTCAGGAATTTCGAGGTGAGGATCTTGCTGAGAAAGGTCCGCGGGTGCCGGATGACACAGACCTGGATGTCGCCCTCCTGCAGCAGTTTGTACCTCATCCCGTTGCACAGCAGGAGGGCCCGGCGGCACGGCACGGCGCCCATCTTCGTGCCCTCGGGGGCCGGCACGTCGCCCCCCAGCAGCGGCTTGGTCTCCTCGATCTGCCGGGGGTCGCCGCCGCCGCCCGAGCTGCTGGTCAGATCCATGGCCGGCCGGGCCGGGGAGGGGGCCGGGGGCGGGGAGCGGGGCTGTCCCGGCTGCCGGGGCGGCGGGGCCCCCCGATCGGCGGCCCGCACCCCCCCAGCGCCCAGGCAGGTGGGGGGCGTGGGGCCGGGGGCGCCCGCAGGGGAGGGGCCCGGGCGGGCGCTGGCGCGGCCGGCGCTCGGTCCTTCCTGCGGGCTCCGCTTCCTCCTAGCTCGTCGGGTGCATGCTCGCGGCGGCCGGACCGGCTCGGCGGGTGGCGGGCGGCGGGCGGCGGGCGGGACGCGGGCAGCGCAGGGGCCGGGGCCGGCGGCGGCGGCGGGAGCGGGGCCGCGCGGGCGGGCGGGCGGGCGTGTCTCGGCCCCGCCGCCGCTCGTGTGTACAGTACGTGTGTCTGGGCGGCCGTCCGCGGGCGAGTGTGCGGCGGGGGCCGCGGGGGCCGGCTCAGTTGAGAGATTGCAGAAGCCGCTCGGCGCCCGCGCGATTGGTCCCCGCGGGGTCATGTGCCCGCCCCTCTGACGTCAATGGCGGCAACGGCGGCGGCCGCCGCGGCTTCGGCCTCTCGCAGGCGGAGTCCGCCGCCGGGCGGGGACGCGCGGGGCCGAGGCGCGGCCCGACGGGAGGGGGCGGCCCCTGGGGAGGGGGCTGGGGCGGGCGAGCCCCGGCAGGCCCGCGGCCCCGCCCGGAATCTGGGGGGGGGGGGCGGGGGCCGCGGGGGCGGGGCGCGTGACGTCACGCCCAGCCGGCCGCGCCCCCGCCGGTGCCCAGGCCGGTGCCGAGCCGCCGGCCCCCGGGCCAGCCGATCGGGGGCCCCTGCCGCCCCCCAGGCCCCTCACCCCGGCCGGCCCGGATCAGAAGTGTCGACGCCCCGAAACGAGTCACCGCGGACGGCCGCGTGCGGCCAGGTGCAAACCCGAGGGACCGGAGCTGGGCTGGGTTGGGCTGGGCTGGGCTGGGCTGGGCTGGAGGGGTGGGGCTGGACTGCTTGACCTCTGACACCCCCTCCCCAGCTCCGGCCGCCCACTTGGCGGGCCGGGTGGAGCCAGAAAACAGAGATATTTCCTCGAATTCAAAATGTCCCCTTAATTATCCAGATAATGAGCCCCCACTGCCTTGGCTCAGCTTGGGGGACTCTGCAGGCCCCCTGGCCTTTTCAGATGTCTGCGCGCCTTGGCCCTTGGGGTCCTCAAGCCGCCTGGGGGTGGGGGGATAGGCTCGCCAGCCCCTCTCCTTCCTTCTGTTTTTGGAGTCTGACCCCTTCGAGGGTACGTAGACAACAAAGACCCCGGCCATGAGTGAGTGGTCCAACCCATCCTCTGCCTGCAGCCCAGCAGCCCCAGCTTCTTTACCTCTCCCCTCAGACCGGACCTGGTCATTCATTTCTGTGCCCCAAGGCCCAGCACAAGGTCAGGGAGAGAATCATATTGGAAGCACCCTTGTGTCAGTCAAGAACTCCATCTTAGAAACAATGACGTTCCCTTTCTGCCATCAGGAGTGACACACCTGAGGCCACCCAGCAAACGCTCGCCTCGGCGGCCAGCTTTCTCATGTCCATGCACTTCTGTGGTTGATACCATTAAAACCCCAGATTTCTGCCTTTTTGTTGTGTGCAGGTGCTTCTGTGGTGAACACACGAGTGTGTGAGGCGTGTGCTGAATGGCATCGTGAAGGCGCAGGATGTCCACAGTGTGCCTGCAGTGGGGGTTATCCCCACCCCACTCTCCCCCAAGAACGGACAAGATGGAGGGGCTCCCAGAAGGACCCTGTCCCTGGAGCCCGGCCAGGGCTGGGGGCACGGGGTACAAAGTAGGGCCCAGCACGTCTCTCTCTAAGCAAGACTCACTTCCAGCCTGCCCAGGAGATGGCAGCGCTGCTCTCTCCTCGAGGGCCTGGGGACTCAGAGTTAGGTGAGAAAATGGGGAATTGCTCTATTCCCCACCATTTCCTGGCGTTTCCATCGATTTCTGAACTTCAACGGCCTTGAGAAAACCATCAAGCTAGAAAAGGGGCAAACCCAAACCTCCACCTCAAGACGTAGATGTGGATGAAGGAGATGGTTGTGACCAAGACCCCCAGGCCTTTAAGGGGTGGCATTAGGTCAGCTGTTCAAACCTTTATGGAGCTCCTGCTGTATGCCAGCTACAGGAGTACTTCCTGTCATAGCCACAGCGTCCTAAGCACTTTCTACGTGCCACGAGTTGTGCATGCATACAACTTTTCCTCCTCACAGCAACCCGAGGACACAGGAGTCATCTCCAACCCCTCTTGCAGACAAGAGCACAGACAGGCTGAGTGACTTGCCCAGGCTCACTTAGCTCATCAGGGTTGGGCCCAGGACAATGTAAGGACAATGAGCCCCCTGTGCTGGGGCTATGGGAACAAAGGTGGGGCTGCCTAACGCAGCCGGGATGAGGCACTGGAGTACATGTCCTCACTCCAAGAGGTGTTTAGGAATCAGATGGAGAAGGGGAAAGGTGCTCCTGGGAGGGGGGATGGCAGTACAGAGAGGTGGCAGAGAGCTCGGCCTGGGTAGGAAACTGCTCGTTTGCCACGCCATGCCAGGTGCCCCGGGGATGCAGGCCAGAGGCCTGAGAGGTGAGCAGGGGCTGAGCAGGTAGTGCCCTGAAATGCAGGCCCGGGGACCAGAATGTCCCCTGAGAGCAGTGGGAGCCACCCTGGGTACCATGCAGGGGAGTGGCTTGCAGATGTCATCTTCATAAGGTCACTGGCTACAGCATGACATGGACGAGGTTTGCAGAAGAGCAGCCTGGAGGCAGGGAGGCTGGTGAGGGTACCCAGGAGGGAGGTGCTGGGGGTCAGCATGAAGTCATGAGTCGGCGGGAGGGAGGGGGGCGGCCCTGTGACAGGCAGAGGAGCTGCTGTCCACTTCGGGAATATCCATGGACCCTCCTCTCGCCCCATTCTGGGGACACAACTCCAGCAGAACGAGATTTACCAGGGTGCAAAGGATCTCTGATTTCTTGTAGGACACGTGGACATCCTCAACAATGCTTGATATGGTGGTCGATTTGTAAACATTCAATAGGAATATCATGATAAAAATGGCCGGCACCCAAATGCCAGGTACGATGCTGGGGTCTTTATATATTTCTTCCCATTTCTTCCTCCAAACCAGCCCAGGAGGCAAGAATTATTATCATCCCCATCTTAAGGGTGAGAAGTTGAGGCTCAGGGAGTCAGACAAGTATGGGCCTCCAGCCAAGATTTGAATGTGAAGTTCTGTTTAACGTCAAATTCCATGTTTTTCCCGCACCTCCTTTGTAATGTTTTCCTGAGCAGGCACTCAAGAAGAAAGTATTGAATTCCATCAATGTCATCTTTAAAGAATAATATTTCTTGATTTTAGTTTAAAATCAGTGACATGGAGCCCCCAAGACACTGCAAGCAGAAAAGTGCCTTGAGGGCAGAAAGCAGGAACTCCTGTTGACAGCAGAGCTAGCTCAGTGTGTGCACACAGTTGGAGCTCAACGAATATGCGATGATGGGTCATCAAACTCGACTATCCTGGTCCTTGGGGATTTGCAGGCAGTAGGACCGTGTCAGTCAGTTGGGACAGGATGAGAGGGGATGGCATTGGTACTCAGTCGGTGATAGTCAAGTCCCAGCCTCCTAGATTGGGAGTCACGTAACTCATTGCAGAGCCCCTTGCCTCCCACTCCCCCAGGTTCCTGACCTAAAAAATGAGTCTGAGTCCAGCTGTCTGATTCTATCAGAAGCCGGTCCCTGCCGCCCTCAACCTCTGCAGGAGACACAAGCTCATTGAGTTTCTGTGGATGGACCGTGCACCCAAGTCATGCTCCGTGCCACGGGAGTCCAGACTCTCCAAAGAATGGCCCAGGCCCCTTAGAGTTCACCCTTGAACTTTAGAGGTCTATGGAGCATCGGGAAGGGGAGGGAAGTTCTCAAACCCTTCACTCTCCTCAGGCTTCCACGAGCCAGTTCACTCACCAAAGGTTGCCAGACAAACCTGTCATTTTCTGCATTCTTTGCTGGCATTCCCTCCTTATTTGAGCCAGTCCCAAAGGACAGTGTTCTGCACCCACCTGCTCACTGGAACTCCCTCTCCCACTTCGGTTCAGCAACCCACTGTGGGTTCACCCCCGGGCCACGCTGGTGGAGTGGTGCAAGGACCTGGGGGTATTGTGGTGAACAGATTGTAGACTGCCCTCATGAGCTCACATCTCAACTCTCAGGTCCCTGAAGTCTCGCCTTGAGCCAACTCAGAGGGGAAAGACAGACCTGCTGCCCTGGCTGCCCACAAAGGAGTTTGATGAAGTAACAAAGTCCCTGGTGGGGGAGGAGAGCCTCGGAGCTGATGGCCAGCCCTAGGTGAGGTCCACTGAGGCACCCACTTCTAGCAGCCCTGCCCCTTCCAGCAGACACCCGTGTAGGTAGGCATCCTCCTCCTCCACGTGGTCTCCAGGGGAGCCTTTGCACAGCTCCCTCCATGCCCCACCCCGCCATGAAATGGCGCACAAACCCTACCACCGTACCCTCCAGAGGCAGGGTTCATTCTAGTTCTGGCCATCGTTGTGTCCGGTGGTGTGATGATAAATGTTTAACAGTCAGCTTGCTGAAGAAAGAAAATCCCTGATTCACAGACTTTGACAATTTTCCTGGTGTAAAATATTCCCACCATGGCCGATTTCAGGCTATAGACATGCATCACTGAAGAGTTGGGAAGAGATGCACCCCGTTCTGGAGTATCTCCACCCTACAAATATGATCGACCGGGGGGTCAGCACGCAACGGCTGAGGGACCAGATTCAGCTCATGGCTTGCAAAACCTGAAATATTTACTATCTGGCCCTTTTACAGAAAAAGTTTGGCGACCCCTGCAGTAGACATAAATAACCTCCAGAACAGAGATACTAGTAACATGTAGTAAAATAATTAGGAAGTGATGAGTTTTATTGCCTTTTTAAAAAATATAATTTATTTAATTGTAAGTTTATATCATTTAATCTTGTTTAATGGCTGTTTGATGACCAGCTTGCACAATTCCTGAAAACTTAACAATCGGCTCTCCCCAGCCGGTGTAGGTCATCTCCAGTGTGCCACTGCCTGTTTCTCCAGCGCCTGGCCCAGAGAAGTTCCACGATGATTGCCTGTTGAGTGGCTGGAACTCTAACTTCAATGCCGACCTTCTAACTACCGGGCCACGTGGCCCTGCGAGTAGGGGGAAACCAGACACCCCCTCCCTCCCCAAAATCACCACCCCCGAAAAAAGTACGTGAAGAAGGAAAGAATCTCCTTGCCCTTCCTTTACCAGCTGTGTGTGTCTTTGGTTGATTCTCTACAAAGTGGGGTTGTAACAGTACCTTTCTGCAGTTGTAGAAGTTAAACAAGATCATCGACCTCGAGCTCGCAGCCCGGCATGGAGTAAGCACTTGGAATGAGCGTTAGCTATGTCACATCACCACCGTCGTCCTAGAACCCGTGTTCACACGGCCCTGGTCACGGGCCCTCCATCCAGTGCACTTCTCTGAACCTCCCCCGTCTGCCCAACAACTGGCTGCAGACACTCTCGACGCAGCATGTCTCAGAGTTTCCAACCTTGGCACTTGGACCTTCGGGGCTGGATAATTCTCACCTTGGTGGCAGGCAGCTGTCCCGTGCACTGTAGGGTGTTTGGCAGCATCCCTGGCCTCTACCCCCACAAATACCGGTAATAGTCCCCAACTTGTGACAACCAGAATGTCTCCAGGCATTGCCACATGTCACCTGGGAAGCATAATCACCCCTGGTTGAGAGCCCCTTGTTTGAAGGAAGCTGTTTTCCCTGCCCCCTGAGCTGGTGCAGGCTGCTCCCCGGCCATGCCGTGGGTCCCAGTGTGGGGAGATTATATTGTCCACACTCATGCGACGTCACGTTCCTCCTCAGACTCCACTTCCCGGGGACTGGAGTGAACCGGCAGCTGGCTTTGTCAGACTGTCAAGGAGCACGGGCACCCACAGGATGGAATAAGGTGCAACCTGTTTTCAGTCGTGTTTTTGGAGCCTATATAGTGGCATGAGGCCACGCCTGTAATAAAACGCCAAGCACCAAAAGCAAGCATCAAAATTATTTGTCCTTAAGTGGTCCCAATTTCGTAGCCCCCTATGGCGTTATTGCTTTGGAAGAACTCTCTGGAAGCTCCGTCTGAAAACTGTCTCAAAATTGCGTCAGCCAGGAGAGCATTCCCGAACCTCATTTTGAACAGGCATGAGACACCGGCATAATGGAACACACACTCCGTCCCGATGGCATTTAATGTACTGATCAAATAATAAAATGCGCTTAGTCTCCCAGTCTAAGGAGAGGAGTCGTGTTTTCATCCTGAAGTCTGTGAACATCCCCCTCCGTCTTCTGAGCTGGATATGAAGTCAGCACACCCTCTAGAATCATCAGAGGGGAGGGCGGGCAAGGGCTGGGAGCGTGTCTCCTCTTTAGCAGCCTGTGATCCTGGGTGGCTCAGTGCTTACTGTCACTCTCCCCACCTTTTCTGGTTTTGGGGAGCAAGCTTGGGCATCCGTGGAAGGAACATGAAGTACCACCCTCTCCCCACTTCTTTCTCACTTTCACCAAATAATTAAGTCTGAGGTTAATAAAAAAAAAAAAAGTATTACAGAGGATTGAACGTTTATACAGAACTAATATTTCTTACAATCAGTGGATGGATTGATGGAGTCACATACACACACCAAAACCTTAATAGTGGTTAGCTCGTTTTTCCCCCTCTTTAAATCAATGTTATTGCAGTATAATTTACATGTCATAAAATGCACCCATTTTAAAAGAACAGGTTGATGAGTGTTGACGCATGTGTGCACCATGGAACCACCACCTCAATCAAGATATTGCTACAGAAGAGTGCCACAACCACAGAAACGTTTCTCTGTGCTCCTTTGCAGCTGATTCCAAGCCACCCACTTCCGGCCCCAGGCAACCCCCATCTCTCTTCCGTGACTTTAGATAGTTTTACCCCTTCTCAAACTTCATGTACATAGAATCAGAGGGCATGCCTTCCTTTGAGTCTGACTTCTTTGACTCAGCATAAGGGTTTTTAAGGTTCATCCGTGTGAGTCCATGTTGGTCTGTTCCTTGCATGGCTGCCTATATACATGGATATAACGTGGGGGAATTTTTTTCTTCTTTATGCCTCCTTTCCCTCACCCCCAAATTCTCTGCAAGGAGCATGGATTGATTTAATTTTTTAAAAGAAGATAAATGCCTTCACTTTTTAAAAATTCCCAGGGACTTTGTGAAGAACCCAAATGCCAGGCTGCTGCCGACTCGTGGACGTAGACGCCTGGCACAGCCACGCAGAGGACTGAAGGCCATGGATCAGATTTTTAAAAATAAAAACCACTGTGTTTTTCAGATTAATTGCATGTCTCTCCCACACTAGCCTTTGCGGTGAGCTGCTCAAATTGACCAATTTAAATGTGACCTCTTTTCTTTCCCCTCCATCCGCTCTGAGTCAGTTGCTAAGAAGCAGAGAAAGGAAGTATCTGGGGGGAAGTGTGTTACACATGTGGAGTACATGCCACTCTTCCAAATTCAACCACACCCCCCTTTGCATCGGCCCCTCTGGACAACCTCGGGGCAGGCAATGGTGATGGTGTTGTCCCATTTTGCAGATTGGGAAGCTAAGGCAAGATCAAGGGTTTGTCTGAGATCCCACAGCAAGAGAGTGGGAGGAAGCCATTCAGGTAGGATAACAAAGAGGTCACAAGCACAAGCTTTGGATTTGGATCTTAGCTGTCCACCTTCCTTAGCTGGGTTACACTAACCAAATCTCTTAACCTCTCTGAACCTCAGTCTCTTCATCTACGAAACAGAGATCCAGTCCTGATACTCACAATGGAGCCAGTGAGACACTGCACGTAAAGTGCTCAGAACAAGGCTCGGGAAGAAGTTGGTGCACAATAAATGGTGGGGGAAAAAACGATTTCTCAACTCCTGGTCTCTTCTTTCTTCAACCACAGCACAAAACTGGAACCGATTCCAGCCTTCCTGAGCTGAACGGAAAGGAGTGGACATTTTCTTGTAGCTCCAGGAAGCAGAGCCTCGCAGATGCAGAGAAATGAGAAGGCAGGCACCAGCGTCCAGTCGTTAGCCAAGGCACCTTGGTTGCAATGGAGAAACCAGAGTAGCTTCAGCCAAGAGTGGAAATGGGTTATGAGGAATCGAGAGTGTCTCACAGAGCCCCCGGGGCATAAAAGTAGCCAGGTCTCAGAAAGAGCCAGAGACCAGGGACCCAGGGGCCTTCTATCTGCTTCGTGTGTCTGCTCTCTGCGTCACCCTTCCCCCATCCCAGGTTTCTCTGCTGTGCTGCTCCGGCATGACGGAAGGTGGCCATTGGAGAAACTAGCTGGGATCAAAACAGGATTTCTTTGGTCCAGTCCCAGGGTAGGACTTGTTGTCCCAGCTTGGGCCAGATGCCCACCCCAGCCAGTGTCCGAGTCAAGCTGTCCAAAGATGGTTGCTGGCGACCGCTCCCCAGAGGTGAGAAGGACAGTCAGGTGGGTCACCGGGAGCTTGGTGGGCCCCCCAAGAAATGTCTTATTACAAATAACAACCGATTCTTTCACCATGTTCCCCAACCTTGTGCATTTCTTTATTTTATTAATAATAGTAGCAAATATCCACGTACGGCTTACTGTGTGCTAGCCACTGGTGTGAACACTTTGCATATATTGACTCCTTTATATCAAACCTCACAAAAATGTAGTGAGGTTTATTTTGTCCACTGTACAGATGAGGAAACTGAGGTTCAGAGAGGTTACACCACTTGCCCAAGGTCACACTGGAACCCGGACAATCTGGTACCAGGCCCTCTCTCTCAGCCACCATGCCATGCTGCCCGTTTTAGCCCCAATCGTGCATTTTATAATTCCTCTGTTAGCCCAGCTCTCAAAATGAGAAAAAAAAAAGATGAGGACGGGAAAGAATGTGACATCTGACATTTCACAAGAGCATTTAACGGCCGATGGTGGAAGATGCTAGAGCTTCGCTGGCCATCCTCACTGTTTCCTTTGAACTGGGGTTGGGTGAGCAGGCACAGCAGCGTTGTCCTTGCCTCTGTCTGCAGCCCCATCACACTCCCCTTGGCTGGGACCCCTGGGCCAGGACCTGCAGCTTCTCTGCCTCTTCTCCCGCCTCTGCACGTAGCAGGTGAACAGTGAGGTTTGCAGTTGCTGAGAAAATGTGTCCCCCACCTTATAGTTTCCCAAGGGCTTCCAGAGACAGGCAAGGAGGTCAGTGAAAACAGCATCTGCGTGATCCCTCAAGGAAGGGGAGTCTGCGGAGAGAACATGCACATGGAACCCAGCCGACGCTGAATGACCAGGCCTCAGGGAGGTCATGGCGGGTCCTGCACAAAGGCTCCCCTCTCCCCTTTCTTCCTCCTCTCTCTGGGAGTCTGTTCTGGTGCCTCACGAAACACTGCCTGCCTCTGCTTGTGTGTCTGGAGGTGCGCCCCAAAATGGCCAGCTCAGCCCAGGCCCCAGGGCTCGGTGGTCACCGAGTCCCGGGTTCCCACCTCTGAATGTCCAGGGAAGGGATCTGGTGGACCTGCCTAGACTTTGTCCAGCCAGGCCCCCTGGGTCTCTGGTTCTGGGCCCCAGGCTCAAAGAAGGAAAGTGAGTTGCCCACGGTCTCCCAGAGAGAAGGCCACTGAGCCAGGATTCTGGTCAGTTAGCACCCAAATTCGTTTCCTGGGGCTGCTGTAGCAATGTACCACAGACTGGGGGCTCAAACAACAAAATTTATTCTCTCACAGCTCTGGAGGCTGGAAGTCCAAAATCAAGGTGTCGGCAGGGCTGGTGCCTTCTGAGGGCTGTGAGAATGGGATCCGGCCCATGCCTCCCCCTAGCTTCTGGACGTCTGGGGGTAGTCTGGCCCTCCTTGGCTTGTAGACAGATGCAGCACCCGATCTCTGCCTTCAGGTTCCAGGCTTTCTCCCTGTGTGTGGCTGTGTCCAGACTTTCTCTTATAAGGACACAGTCATTTAGGATTAGGGGTCCACCCTACTCCAGTACGACCGCATCTTAACTTACGACATCCGCAATGACCCGATTTCCAAATAAGGTCACAGCGTGAGGGACTGGGGGCCTAGGACTTTGACATCTTTTGGAGGGACACAATTCAACCCATAACTGAGCCCAAAGCCTGCCACAGATGTGCCACCTCACGCTCCCTAGGCCTCCTCTGGCCCTGGAGGGTGCCACACATCCTGTTTTCTCTGGAACAGGCGTGCACACAGGTCTACCCTACTGTCCTGGAGCTCACACGAGAGCATTCACAGGGAGAGGCTGTGATTCAAGTGGAACCCCCCCTCCCTGGGTGCCCGGGGCAGGACGTGACTCAACTCTGGGTGAAGCACCCAGGGAGGCTGTGTTCAGACGGACAGCCCATTGTCTGTGCTTCTCCAGTTTCATCAGGCAGTTTTAGAGGCATTAAACCCGAACAGGTCACACTGGGCTAACGAATTTCATTCTGCGTGGACGACGATGACCCACGAACCAAAGCCGGCAACTGTGACCTCTGGCCGTGTGGTCTCACAGTGGCGGTGGTTGACAGGTGGCTGGATCCTGGGCCAGGGATTCAGGCAAGTGGTTTATTTTTATACTTATTCACTTTTCTGGACGTTAACTAGCCAAATCTACCCTGAGGATTAGTTGCCTTTCAGATGCATGGATCTGGGTTCAGGGTGGGAAAGCCGGCCCTGCCCATTTCTTCAGCCGTAACAGACATCACCAATCCATTGCAGAATGCTACCTAGGATCACAGGCCTGGGAGTGCAGGGCGGGGCCTGGAGTCCAGGATGGTGTACACTAGAGCCTGCGTTCGTTTTGTACTTTGATTTGGTGACTCACAGGTTTCAGCCTGTACTTGGTGTTTGGCTCCTTGAAAGGAACAGTGCTCAAGGGGCCACCAACACATCCAAAGCCGGGCAGCAGTGACCCCCCCTCCTTCATTCCCAGGGAGCAGTCAGAGAGAGGGAACATTTGCCTTGACAGAGCTAGAAGAAAGCCCTAGGGCGTCTTCTGGTCCACCCCCCCTATTTTGCAGGTGGGGGAAACTGAGGCTCAGACAAGGGAAAAAGGAGGCTTACCCCAGACCACACAGGTGATGGGCGGCAAAACCAGGCTCAGAGCTCCTGACCACCCCCCACCACAGGTCGCCCCATCAACCTCCTGCTTTTCTTCGCCGGCAGATGATGGAGGATGCCAAGGACCTGTGTATTTCTCCCCTGTCTGCTTGTTGTCTGCGTCTGTGGTGTCTGATCCCTGGGGAGACTCAT